AGGGGTTAAAGAGAGTAAAAGCGGGGAAAGTGAATCAGTATGGAAGAAAATGATCACGGCAACAGAGACGTGGTGGAGCGGCAGGAGTCGGCGGATGAATCAAACAGAGCCATCCTTCCCCTCTTACAGGCGCCGGGGAACCTGCAGATCCCTCACCGTGTCACCAATTTCTTCATCGACAACATACTGCGGCCGGATTTCGGACGGAAAAAGGACGGGGGCGCAAACCGCGAAGAGAGTAGCCTGGCATCGCGGGAGAGCCACAACAGCCCCGCCGCCCCTCAGACTGAGCCGGTGGGGAGCACGGTGCCGGCGGAGGGGACCTCCACTCCGCACACGGTTACCGGGACCAAGAAGCCCGCTATAGCCGCCGAGGAGCCCCTGAAACCCCGCGGGGTGAACGCAGACCAGTGCCTAAGCTCAGACTCAGACAGTTCCCAAGCCAGCTCAAACCCATCCCAGTCCCAGCCCATGCTGTGGCCAGCCTGGGTCTACTGCACCAGATACTCGGACAGGCCTTCTTCAGGTTGGTGGCACCGTGCATGCGTTTTTTTATCTCTATATCGTATTCTCGGTAACCTGAAATACCCCGTAACACTGACCCCGGATGCCTTGACCGACTTCTCCCGAGTAGAGCAGAGCGAAGCGTGCTGCGCAGCGCAAACAGAGAATTTACGAATATAGAGCCATGGAAATGTTTAGAAATATTATTTAATGCAAAACCCAAATCCTCTGCTAGACTACACGAACAGGATGTCTTTGTAGAATGTAGGAAAAATACTACCTAATAATGAAACATAAAAATGGCTTTTCGAGGCCTATTTTAAAATGCAAGCAAGCAAGAAAATAGATTTATTTTAAACCTTCAAACTTTCCTTAAATCTTCTTATTTAAACTTCTCACCAAAATACCGCAAAACATAAAAAAACTGCAGATTTTTTGCGCTATTACGCACGGATTTTTTATTCACTAAAATGATCCTATTCAGGCAGTCTTCTTGCACATTTCCTCGGGTTATGAATATGATAATACAGGGGTCCTACATATACTAAACATAGGCGCGCTGGTATGTCTGCACGTCTTTCCAGAGCATCTGCAGGTCTGTGAAATAATATTTGGTGCTCTTGTTGTGGCTGTTTTAGATGCATTAGGCGAGCTGTGTTTGGGGTGGATTAAATATGCATCTGTTTTCACAATGGACGCTCCCATAGCCTATGTATATGCTGGCCAGTAGTGACTGTTTTATTTTTTAAATCTTTATTTATAAGAACACCTGCTACAACTTCTCAGCCTGCAGTAAGGTTAATATGTAGTGTATTTTTCTTAGTGTCTATCAAAAGTGGAGTACAACTTGTTCTCATGCATTATGTAACGCTGTATGGAGTGGCGTAGGCGACTACTACGAGTTGTAGAGCTGCACAGTTCTTATACACACACACACACACGAGCTGATTCATCAGTATAACGGTGGTTATGTCGTTTCATTAATGTTTCCCACACTGTTTGGAGGAGAGAAGCGAACACTCTCCCCCAAAGCTCCACCAAATAGGCCTCCATCCAGATGGAAAATGAATGTGTACCCAATGTGTGCGGCTCAGATTCTCTTCATGTTTGCTCATTGAGGAGCTTTTAAGTGGCCCACAAAAACAAAAAGAAAATGCAAAGTAGCGGCAGTGAAATGAATCCTGTATTTCAGCTCACCTGCAAAACAGTGGCTGAGATGTGCCCCCCCAGTGTTATCCTATTGGTTAATAATTCCTTATTACAACAGACAGTGTCAGTGTGTGTATGATGCGTGTGTGTGTGTGTGTGTGTGTGAGTGAGAGAGAGAGAGAGTGTGTGTGTGTAGGTCTACGTATCTGTGTGTGTAAGCGAGGGAGAGGGATAGAAACAGGGAGGGAGGGGAGTTTTTTTGCTTCTTGGGTGTTTTCTTCAGTGGACGTGTCAGTATTTTACAATCAATCCTCGTCTTTTTTTTTACTAGTTTGACAGAAATGTTTTGGGAAATCTACAAAACTTATTTCGGTGGGGGTTTTTTTAATAGAAAAAGCTTGTAAAAAACACAACCCAAATAACAACAGATGTCCGAGCAGGCATTTGTTTACTTCTCGATTTTGGAGATTCAAATCAGTTTTAAAAATAACAGACTTTACGCACATGTTTTAGGCGCATTTGTAGGCTCTATCTTATATGTAAAGTAGTGCAACAGTATACTAGTTATACGTGAGCTGGGTATTTTAATGAGAAGACGTTATAATTAATTTGTTTATCTATAAAGTTGTGCATAAAGCTGTTTTTTGATTTTCATGAACATATTTTGACACTGACAAACCAATGTTTGTGTCTCTGTGATCCCCCCCACCCTACCCCATCTCCCCCACAATACAGGGCCAAGATCTCGCAAACCAAAGAAGAAAACGACCAGCAAAGAGGACAAGCGACCACGGACGGCCTTCACAGCAGAGCAGCTGCAAAGACTAAAAACGGAGTTTCAGACAAATCGCTATCTGACCGAGCAGAGGCGGCAGAACCTGGCGCAGGAGCTGGGCCTCAACGAGTCCCAGATCAAGATCTGGTTCCAGAACAAGAGGGCCAAAATCAAGAAGGCCACCGGCGCTAAAAACAGTCTGGCCTTGCACCTGATGGCACAGGGACTGTACAATCACGCCACCGTCACGTCGAAAGACGAAAAATCAGACAGCGATTGATTTCCAGAGAAGTCACAGCAGCCTCCTGACGAAAAAGAACCTATAGTAATCCTATGATAGATTTTTATTGAGATATCACCGGAAAACTCTACCTACAGGAATATTTAATGATACCACAGCAGATAAAAATACCATAAAGTTCTATTACTGTCACTACAGATGGGTCCAGGACACCACAGGAAATTAAAAAATAAATAAATAAAAGTACAAAGGAACAATAAGGTCACTGGACTGCTAAGAGTCCCTACAGGAATATTTAATCACAAGTCTCTATATGTTCCTATAGGAGTATTATAGTGATTTTTCGTTATATGGGAGGTTTTGTCAAGCCTACAATGCAATAATTTCATCGAATAAAAGGGCCAGTGTGTAGAGTATACCAGCATAAATTGTTTTAAAAAAAAAAACAGAGAGAGATATTTCTGCAATATCACGTCTATAAAAGATGTTGTATAAAGGTATGTTTTCATTGTTTGTCGTCCCCCCCCACCCCCACCCCGCCCCTACAGGAGGTACAAATGCTTACAGCCCTCATTTTTATATAGGCCTACTGCTACCCATGATTGTCATCATTTTACATTTAAAAACTAACTGGCACTTGACGTTTCCATCTGTCAGTGAGGTGAACAAAACTGAAGTCCAAAGAATATTTTTCTGCTGCATCCAGGCTACTGTGAATTTAAATAAATGCTAACACGATTTTATTTCCATGCTTTGTTGGTTTCCTTGGTTGTGTTTGATGTAAAAATGGACAGAGGAAAGGTGTTTTCTGAGTGTCACTTGCAGACCTAATTGGGCAGACTATGAATTTTGATACGTTTTTTTAAATAAAATAAAATAAAATCAACGGAAACAGTTTATTATCCTAAGTGACTGAGAGGTAGCGATTTTTTTCTAACACGCCACTTAACTAAATTGCTAAGTTAGGCCTTGCTTACATGTGTGTGGTCGTCTCATAGCCTTTACACAAGTATTATGTGCGTATTCCCTTCGTTATACCAATGCATCAGTGCAGCTATTATAGTTTTAAATAGCAATACGATCAATCATTTTTTGTAGCTAAATGAAGGCTATAAAGCTGCCTATAAAGTCACAGAAACAACTCTGTAGCATAAAGACAATGATGACAACCATTTTGCGCACTCTCGAGTATAGACTATACAAGCAGGTTATTGGATGTTCTTGTTAAATCTTTCTCTATATACAGTTTTATTACATATCCATATATCATAAAAAGAAGGCAAATCCGTCAGTGACTGTATTACAAATGTTGGAAATCTCTTATCGTTGTTGAAAGGACTTCATATGTGTATTTATATAGATTATATTGAGAAAAAAAATCTATCCAATGACCAGTGTTGCTTTAGAGTAGATATCTGAGGTGTTTACACTGCTTGTTTATCTTGCAATAACTTCTTTTTGTTTTCTTATTTTTTTTTTTGTGAATGAAAAATAGTTTATGGGGCCTTTGCATGAAAGCTGCAATTTGTTGTACTTGGGCAAATAACTGTGTTTATAAACTTTGGTCTTTATCGACGGAAGTATGATCGAGCTAAGTTTTAGACTGTATCCATACCAAATTGTGGACTTTTTGCCTTTCAAAGTGTTTTTTTTGTGTATCTGCAAAAAGTGTGTGTGAATTAAAATCCACCAAACCGAAACACACTTTGCCTTAAAGTTCAAGTGTGAACTTTTTATGAAACAGAACTGTGCCGAATCAGAGAAGCAGTATTACTTCAAATGCAGACTATTCAAGTTTAATGCCTTTATGAAAACTGCTGGTACGACATTATGAATTTACTCATCAGCGTATATCTATCTATATATGAACATGTTTAAATAAAATTACAACACAGAGTTGTAGAATACAATGCTATTTTTTATTTTATGTTCGAAGTATTCTTTGGTATAAATGTACATACTTTGTATCATGTATTAATTGTGTAATTAACTGCCTCCTGAAAAACTGCAAAACTGCAAAAGAAGAGTAAATAAACCTTGAAGATTATACACAAAAAAGTTTCTAGCATCTTTATGTGAAGCAAAGAGTTAATATGTTTCCATACAAATACAGAAAAGCATAACTGAGTTCTGGCTGAAGCAGTAAACATGACCTTCCATCAATGCTGAGCTTCTGCTGGCAACAAAATGTAGAAAAAAAAACAAACAAATGCATTACTAGCTAAAATTGTCTAGAAAAGAGCAATGTGTACAATGATAGTTTTAAATAAATGTTTGCCAGATGTCAAATATTCACAAATGTAATCACAAACATTATTAATGTGCATAGCATGACAATCCTTTCCATGCAAACGCCCACTCGTTCTATGGGCGGTTCAGGATCACATTCATGGAGGATCAAATTCATGGGGTTTGAGATTAAAACATTTGCGAAAGCATCCAAATATTATGCAAGAGAAAGCCTTGAACAATTCCCAGGCATGTTTCCTCAACAATGCCTTATCTGCATTTCCATACTTGCACCGCTAGTCTTTGAACGCCATGTCTAACGGCCGGTGACTAGCATTAGAGGAGATAGGGCTGCTCCCAGCACTGTCTCCACGACGGTCAGTCTTCCTCGCCGCCTCTGAAAGGAGCCTGTGCTTCTATCACAAGGCAGGAATGGGAGTCGAAAGGAGAGAGAGAGAGAGAGAAAGAGAGAGAGAGACAGGGAGAGAGAGAGGGAGGGGGTGAGAGAAAGAGAGACACACTAGAGAGAGAGAGAGAGAGAGAGAGCAATGAAGGTCAAAGCCTGTCATGGCTGCAGGTGGCTGGTTTCCCCCCTCCCGCCCCTCAGTAACCCATTCTCCACACACAGCTTTCTCACTCACTAACTCGTACTCTCTCTCTCTCTCTCCCACACACACACACACACACACACACATCTTACTATCACTTTTATTTTATTCTTGCCCGGCACGCACACATCCTCACACAAGTCATTCATTTCTTGTTCCTCCTCACATGCACACATACCCCTGTTGTTTTGGTCCTTCATTCAGCGCATCAATAGGAACCTTCATCAAAATATTCACAGGCAGGGAAGCTCCCTGAAGTTCAGATAGGGACACCAATGCATGAACAATAGCTGGAGCTGTAAGGCTGCATGGGCACATTCTCCTGGAACAAAAGCTTCTATCTGAGAATAATTTGTCTCATCTCTAGAAGTGAGATTCAGGTGGTCAAGTGATCAGAAGTGGTCTTTGTTTGGGCCTCTTACTGCTTCGCGCAACAGGAAAGCATTGGATTGCTGTGAAAAACACAATATATGACATGGCATAAATCATCAATAATCTGGGTAGATAAGCCTGAGAAATACACATATCTTCTAGAATAGGATGCAGAAATTGTAAAAAAAAGAAATGCCTGGAATAAAAGTTATTTTCTGGAGTATTGCTGACAATTTCAGAAAGTTCTCGTGCTGTAAAAAAAAAATAAAAAATGGAAGTGAGCACAGGATACATCAGGAAAGTATCAATGTCTACCTCTAAACACAAAAGGGCCCCATCCTGCTATGACCTCGCCCTACCATCCTCCCCCTCCCCTACTGTGTCATTTACCCACAGTTTCTAAATGCTTCCTACGGCCAGAGTGGAATCTGCTCAGAGGTGCCTGGGCTTTGTGGCGGAAACATAATTAAAGTGGTGAAAGATGTAAAAGGTGAAGAATGGGGATGACATCAGGCCAATTTCACACTTGGCACTCGAATGGCTAGGTCCAAGCCAGGACTCTTGCCTCGCAACACAGATCAAAGCCCACTGTCACCGCACCAGTGCTGGAAAAAAAAGAGGCAAAAGGACACCTAACTATGCTAATCCCCAGGACGAATATATTTTAATCTTGTTAGAATACAAGTTAATGCCGTGGCTCAGTGACTGAACTTTTTGGCAAGAATGAGAGGTGGACAGAATTACTTTTACCTTTTCTACATGAGGTGCCTCTGTCTGGCACCGGATAAACAGCCAGAGTCTGAACAAACTTTCTTTTGGGCAAACTCAGCATATTATCAAGCCGCATACTGTATAGGAGGCTGATAGCAGATGCAAGCCACTGAAAAGGCAAGCAACAGTTTTCATTAAGAACAACGAGGGAGAAAAAAAAAAAACCCTCAACCCTCAACCCTCAACCCCAGTGGTTGTGTCAGTGACCCGTCTGAATCCCCACTAGGGCACCTAACATGCAAAGGAAATGAGTATTTTGTGGACTGGTTTGTCCCCTCTCACATTGAGCCCTTCTTTCTCAAAAGCACCTTGGTAACCCTTGATCTCTCATGTATAGAAGTCAGGGCGCTGGGGCCTGCAGAAGTTGACTAGGCAGACAATAGCAAGCGGATGCTTTCTGGAAAAGTCACACCCAGGCAACTCTCATTTCACACACCGTGTTTGAGCGGCCCTTGAAAAAAAAAATGCAAGACTTTTCAATAAAGAGTCTTTTTGTTCACTTGACGAAATCAGAAAGTCATGTACGTTTTTCCCATGTAGCCACCATATCTGGTTTCTTGAGTGGGTGATTGCTTAGGGGAATTAATTAAAACATAATATAATATGCCTTTAATTTCACAAAAGTTGTTTATGATGTGATTTGACCAGAAGTTCTTCTAGTCTGCAGTCATCAATGACTGAATCATAGATGTGTCACATAAGGATCCTCTTTCCTTTTGGACAGAAAGGGGATCCAGTAATGAGAGAACACAAAGGAAATATTTGTTCAGAAAGAGTTAACGTTCAAGAGTTAGTACTTGTTCATAAAAAATTATTTCACACGACGCAGGTTGCATCAGTTGTTTCAGTTCAATCAGGATTTTTTTTTTGCATTTGATAGAAGATTGGCAGCGGCTTTGGTAAAATTTCTTGCTGTACTGAATTCTAAGACAACAGATCACAACAAGCACTTCTGAAACTGAAAACCAACACTAACCTTCAACATAATATACTGATGTCATGGTTTTAGCAGATAGAAGCAGATATTTATCCCTGAACAAAACAATTCCTAATCATTTTAACCAAAAATAATGCCAATTTGGTTTATTTTTAACTTTATGTTTTCGTTTAATATAACAAGGGCTGAAACTGTTATTTTCATTAGCGATAAGTTTAATGCTTATGTTTTTTATTAGTCAATTAATCAAAAATACAAAAACAAAGCTCATCACAATTTTTCAGAGCATGAGGTGACATCTTCAAATTACAATTTTTGTCCAAATTTATGATGAGATAAAACAGAGAAGATCAGAAAATCCT